CCTCCTTTCTCTTCTTATCTTCAACTTCTCTCTACAATTTCTTTCTTAGCAATACGTAAACCTAATCAAGCCTCACTGTCTTAAAAAACTTTAGCATCCTGGCCCCTCCTGTGACTCTTGCTTGCCTTCCTCCACCCAGAGTCTGTGCTGTTAGCAGTACAGTGCTCCCTGAGTTACTGCAGGGTCATGTCCCAATAAGCCCATTGTAAGTTGAAAATATCCTTAAATATCCTCAGTTGAAAATCCATTTAATACACCCAAGCTACTGAACATCACAGTTTAGCCTCATCTACCTTAAACATGCTCAGACCAGCCTGGGCAACCTGGTAAGACCTCATCTCTACAATAAATCAAGAAAAATTAGTCAGACATGGTGGCACACACCTATAGTTCCAGCTACTTAGAAGGCTGAGGCAGAGGATCACCTGAGCCCAGTAGATCGAGGCTATGGTGACCACGAGCATGCCACTGCACTCCAGCCTGGGCAACAGAGTGAGACTCCTACTCAAAAAAATAATAATACAATAAAAATAAAAACGCTCAGAACACTTACATTATTAGACTACAGTTGGGGAAAATCATCTTATACAAAGCCTATTTTATATTAAAATATTGACTATCTTGTGTGTAATTTTTTTTTTGAGTCAGGGTCTCTGCCACACAGGCTGGAGCACAGTGGTGTGAGCACAGCTGACCACAGCCTCGACCTCCTGAGTGCACATGATCCTTCCACCTCAGCCTCCCAAGTAGCTGAAACTGCAGGAATGTGCCACCATGCTTGACTAATTTCTTATTTATTTTTATTTCTTGTAGAGACAAAGTCTCACTATGCTGCCCAGGCTAGCATCGTGTGCAATTTAGTGAATACTGTAGTGAAAGTGAAAAACAGTGGTTGGGTACCCAGAGTATGGTTTCTTCTACAAGTCGAGCTAGAGTAAGTGAGGACGGTCTACACAATCTTCCTAAAATATATCTTTGATCATACACTTACCCCATGATGAAAAACCCTCAGGGCTTCCCATTATCCTTCTGAGTTCCTTGAGCTGGGATAGCAAGCGTTTCTCTTGGGAGTGCAGTGCTTGTGAGTCTGCAAGAGACTTAAGGACTGGAAAGGCTCCCATCCTCTTGAAAAATACCAGCACTTAGCACAGTAGTTGACACATACTAAGTACCCAAAATAGGAAGATAATGATGACTTTTAGCACCCAATGTGTGCCAGAAGGGAAAGGCAATACTGACAAGCGTCTGGCTGAGGTCCCCTGTGGCTATCCCAAAAGGTATCTGTGTTACCCCTCTCCCTCAGCTTTCTTGATGCTTCTCAGAAAGGGTCCAGAGGGCCATTCCTTCCATGGCAACTTGCATGACATGGGGGATAAGCACTCCCTGGCACAAAATGGTCCCCCCAGCTTTTCACTTGCTAAACATTGCCCCTTTCCTGCTTCTGAAATCATAACTGGCTGGGCATGGTGGCTTATGCTTGTAATCCCAGCACTTTGGAAGGCCAAGGCAGGAGGACTGCTTGAGTCCAGGAGTTCAGGACCAGCCTGGGCAACATAGCCAGATCTCCTCTCTACAAAAAATGTTTAAAAATAGCTGGGAGTGGTGGTGGGTGCCTGTAGTTACAGCTGAGGCTGAGGCAGAAGGATCACTTGAGTCTAGGAGTTTGAGGCTACAGTAAGCCGTGATCGGGACACTAATACTCTCGCCTGAGCAAGAGAGTGAGACACTGACTCAAAAAAAAAAAAAAGTAACCTCCCCACCAGCCTGTCTTCTCAGGTTGCCTTCCATTAATAAAATGATTAGGTCCAGGAGAGGCCTGGATGCCACAGGACTCCAAGTCCTTGGCAGAGTTAAAGGTGGGGGGGGAGGAACTCGGGGGTCTGCTGGTGGACCCAGCCTGGCTCCTGTCTCTACAGGTTTGCTATCTCAAGATGAAGATGAGGAAGAGCCCAGTTTCAGGGGAATTGGGTGCTATTTTTCCACTTTCCCACCTTCTTGTACTCCTGTTAGATTTGGGCAGAGTCTATAATCTACAACTTGTAAAACCCATGGGGGAGGGAGGAAGGGGAGAAGAGA